GCAAATCAAAGCATATTTTAAACCCCAAAACCCCAAAACCCCACCATGAATTGTACGGAACATATTTAAGATGAAATTATAGAATTTGATGAAATTAATATTGCTTATTTGCTTAAGGATTTAAGATTATTCAAGCTATTGCTTATGGTGTCTACATTTAACCACAATAACTTTGACTAATTTCATTCTAGATTCTGATGATTATTGGATTTTGCAGAGTGATGATTTTCAAGAACACTTAGCACATCCCTAGTGAAATAACTCATGTCTTTTGCTATCATGAAGCCTAAGTGGCCAAGTTTGTATACCTAATAGAAAACTACATCATTTTTCATTTTTTCTAATGTTTTCTCACCATCTTATTAAGAAGATAATAAATCAAGGCTACCAACAAACATGGCAACTGGTACCTTTTTAATATCTTGAATAGGGATTTCGTATGGTTTTTCAGTTCCATACCTTTGAATATTTCTAGCAGGTCCAAAATCAAATGTCTAAAATCTTCCACTCGATTTTATCTAAGAGAAATGCTCTAAACTTCTTATGCTAGTGCCTGATGGAAAATGAGAGAAGAATACTCCAGCTCTCTTTCCTTCATTTAAGTCTAAGTTTTCATCAGCTATTAATGATCCTAACTTGCAAAAATCTGGGATATATCCGCATATGAGTTGAGAGGATCCTGTAGTGAGTTGATTTGGTTAAAAAATGTCATAGATCTTCAGAACCTTGGAAATCTTCATAAGTGACTCTACATTAGATCTAAACATCTCAAGGAATATAGATTCCTTGCCTGAAATAGTTGTCACTGGAGCAAGAGCAATGAAGATGCTAACTCTATCAGCGAAATAGTCTTAATTGGTAGCCAATCCATAGAACATCTGAGCTGTACCCTATGAATGTCCTATATAGGCTACTTTATCTTATTTGGTGAGAAGTCTAATGTAATCAAGAGCGGCTGGAATATCATAGTCTCCCATTTCTTAAAAGGAGTAATCCCAGTACTGTTGTTAACTTATTGTAGGATCAATGTGCTGGTTTGAATACTTGTTGCCTCTAGTGTTACCTAGCCAGACATCGTAACCTTAATTTGAAAGGATAAAAGCAGGAGCTCTGTCAGAGTAATGTGCTATCCAACAATCAGCTGAATCGAATACACCGTGTTGCAAGAAAACAACTTTCTTGTTTATTTCAAGTGAGTCAACGGATCCATCATGAGACTAAAGTTCAGATTTCTTGCCAGGAATTCTAAACATTTTAAGTATATAGCCATCTTCAGTAGTAACTTTGTGTTCCTCAAAAATGTAGCCATTATCCTAAACAATTTGTTGAAATGTTTTGACTACATCGGGGTCACTTAGATCAAACAAGTCTGCTTTTTGTTTAGAAACTAGTCCCATATCTTCAAGTATATCAATTTTGGACGGAATGTTAAGAATGCTATCAATAAGGTCTTTTTGCTTTTAAGCAATCTAATCTGACAGATCTTATTTAGCACTCTTGATGTTGTCCTTGATTTCTTATTTGTACATCTATTATAATTGATCTGTGAGATCATTCTTTAGAAAAGAGAAGTCTTATTTAGCTGTCACATAAGAAAGAACAGTCAAGAGCAAGAATTTTTTCATTTATAACACAAATATTTGTAATTATTTATTATCGATTGAATATTCTATGGATAATATAACTATGTTTATAATAGTAAAAAATCTTATTTCATATTTTGTTTTAATTTAATTATTTTGTCTTCGAGGGGTTTTGGGGTTTTGGGGTTTTGGGG